TCAGAACATTTGGATCATCAAATTTTTTGATCTGTTGATCCGTTTATTTGATCTGATCTTCAAATGATTTTTATTGGCTATTGGATTTTTTGACAATCGGATCAGATCAAAATGGATTAGAATTGAACAGGGCTAGTAGCCCTGTTCAATTCTAGACTTGATCGTTTGGACTGAAAAAAATGATTGGTTGTCGTGTACCGATATCGATCCAATCAGGGTGAACACCAAATCTGATTGATCGGTTTCACGTTTTGAAGGCAACTTTGTAAGTCAAGTTGAAAAAAATTTATTGTAACAGAAGAAACGTTTGTCATAATGGAGGGTAAGTTTATATTCTCTATACTCTCTGGGATTTCTGCCTTCTTCGGCGTTTATGGAATTTTTCTTTCTCAATAGAAATCCCACTATGCGATCCTACCTACTTCACCCTTGACCATGACTGGTCATTATTAAGTTTCTTATTATACCGACAACAATGCGATGATTTCACAGCTAATAAATGTGGTGAACACAAACGATATATTCGCAACCTCTTAGCCATCGTTGAAAGTGAAGGTCTATCTGAGACTACATACGATCTAGCTTACGTGGCACTTAATGCAGTACAAGTTAAATATTTTTCTTTCTTGTTGTTTTAATAATGGACGAACATAGTATATTCGAAAATAATAGTAGTGGACAGGTCCAAAGAATAATAACTTTTTTGGATGGGGTCACGTCCTGCGTTCAACCACCAACACTCCTGATCTCGCTCAGGAGTGCAAGAGTCTCGTCTCGAGTGGTTCTGTCCTGCCAAAGTGCATGTATGGTTGGTTTGGTTCTGCCCAACACCCTTGATTTCGTTCTGGAGTGTATGAGTTTCGCCTCGGGTGGTTCCATTTCACTAAAAAGTGCTTTTTCTTAGTTGAAAGTAAACGGGTCCGAAGAGTAATAGTTCTTTGGATGGGGTCACGTCCTGCGTTCAATCACCCAACACTCTTGATCTCGCTCAGGAGTGCATGAGTCTCGTCTCGGGTGGTTCCGTTCTTGCAACTAGAATATATTAAAAATAGAATTGAAACAAATAAAGTTTTTAATATAATCAACAATTAAATAAAAATATCGAAGAATTCTGAATACGTCAAATAATAAATAATCAAAAGAATAATACTAATCATTGATTCATTTTATCATTAATAGCAAGAAAAGAAATCAGAATTAATTGACGATTTCTGGACGAACGCCATTTCAACACAAAAGCGGAAAATCGAGGCTTTGTCTGAACGCTCAGCTTTAGTGGTATGTATTTGGCTTTCAATATAACAAGGTATATATATGATATAATGGAAATGCTCACTGCTCTTATATTTTCCGCTCTTTTTTTTTACAGGAGGAGCTTACTACTACAACTGTACGTTCTACTCTTCAATGAGATAACCAAGAAAATCTTGTACGAGAGAATGTTACAAGACAGCTAGCTGGTGCGGGAGGTGATAATTCACTACCAAATAAACGTCCATGTATGATACAGAAGGAAGACTCGGCTGAAGAATGCGCTACTCAAGAAGATTTGCTGAATTCAATAATCGAAACTTCCAATATCTTTGAAAAAGTTCCATCTTATTATGACAAGCTCAAAACTATATGGAATTCCCGTGATTCTGGAGCGGATTATTACATAATTGACTTAGGAAATAATGAAATGATGAAGCAAACACATGAACTTTTGTGCGAAGATGAATTAAAAATGTTATCCGAAAGACTGACTTTAAATGACGAGAACAATCATATAAGTACAAAGGCACACGAATATTTAGCATTATTCGATCAAATTATAGGATATCCTTCGGGGGAAAAAACCACTAAAGCAAATAATTTGATTGATTTAAATGATGATAACGATGCTAAGAGCAGTGTCATTTCTGAAATGGAAAAAACACTACATAGTCTGAATGAAATAACAACAAAATTTCGATACCTATCAAATTCCCTTTCCCTTCCAGTACTACACTACGATCAATCTCAATACCCTGATATACACATTATCAAGAGTATTTCAAGCCACATACACTACACTACAATAAATTATCAGATTTTATAAATTTTATTCAGTAATATATAGTAAAATTGAAAATCTTCA